CCCTCTACTAAGGCAGCTTTCCACCACCTGAGTGGCACTACAGCACTGAAACTAGTCTAGTTGTGCACTGAAGAGTCCTTTTGCACATGAGAATTCCTCAGGAAGTACTAAGCTGCTATAGCAGCTCCTTTATTTCCCCACAATTGCCAGTTTAGGAGGCATGGCCAGAGGTCCTTTATAATGCCTTGGGGTGGTTGGCAGCTTGCATAAATTTATGCCAGGGATCAGGCCAATGCCAGGACATCCCTAGGCTCAGAGGACCAAAGAAATGACTTAGAGCCACATTTGCACATGCTCCCCTTAGCCCTGAGCTATGCTTGTGAGAGCTGAGCCGTGCTCAGTGCTTTTCACCCGCAGCTGAGGATCTGGGGCTGTAGCAGAACTGTTCTTTTTTTTCCCTTGTGAAACATTTTGGATCAATTATTAACAACTAATGTCTATGTAAAGAAAACCTATCTACAGTCCTGTGAGGCTTGACTGCTCTTATGCTGTATTTCATGCCCTCTGGTTATTTCATTTGGCACAAGCTTTAACAATTATGTAATATCTATTCCCCTTATTCCTATGAGAGTTTTGTGTGCATCCATAGACATTATAGACATTGATGAAGTATCATCAAAGGGGCCGATCCTGCTATGATACATGGCAATGGCAAAACTCTCATAGGTTTAATAGAATGAAAACTGAGTTTAACTTTTCTGACTAGCCAGCATGAATGTGGTAAAGAGAAGTTATAATAGCTAATATTTGCTAGTAAATGCAATAATGTGTGTAATTGGAATTATAGCTCATTTTTGGAACTTACATGGAAGTATTTTCATATCAAACTAAATCTGTAATAGAAATTATGTTTAAAAATAGTGGGCCTGATTCTGACCTCACATCTTGGCTTTAAACTATCCCGACTATTTCAGGGGAGTTATTCCAGGTCTGCTCTGCAGACCTTAAGATGCGAATCATGAGACCATTTGTACTGTTTAATGAAAACCTTGGCCTTTCCTACTGTGCAACCACATCTACCTATAGGGCTTCCATAATGGTATAAACTGGAAATTACTCTATTAAGCCTGTGATGTCAGAAAACCCTGTGTAAATGAGGTCAGAATCAGGTGCAAAGGATTTGTTAGGAATGAGGGCAGTTAATTTAATAGCCCCACTGTTTCTGGTACCTTTATTAAGCAAAATTAATCAGATCCATTGTCTTATAACAGATTTGAATCAGCATTCAGCAAGAAATTTGAAAACTTTAAGATAAAGACTAAATGTATCATTGTATTAGCTGCTGAATATATTGAGTTCCAGACAGTTAATTCTAATAGTGAAAAGGATCTAAGACTGTGATGGGGGTTGAGGGCAAATGAAGCGTTAGGAAGATTGGTGGGAATATTGTCCAAAACATTTATCTATTGCAGTAAAGGAAAGAAAAGCAAACAAATCACTGGCATACATAAAGTAGTATTTTACTCCACAAATAGTCTCATTGGCTGCCATGGGGTGACTCCCAGAATAAGCTACTATTCAATTTACCCTTGGCAGCTTCTGGCATGATGACAGTGGTAGTTACATGCAAAAGATGTATTAAATCACCCAGGCCACATCCCATAAAGTGCTGGATTTAACCCCCTGGGTTAAATATATCAGACCTTAAACTGATACTATGCTAATCTTAGAACAATTTGGTTTGGAAGGAACCTCTAGTGGGTCATTTAGCCCATCTCCCTGCATCATGGAAGAATAATGAAATTATTCATAAAAACAAATCCCTGTCTAATCTAACTGTTTGACATGTCTGCTTCTTTGATTGCTTAACTGACTTTTATAAAAATTTTGCTACAGTTCACCTGTTTTTTCCTTGCTGCAGCTGTAAGCCTGTTCCTACTTGTTCTGTCCTTGTTGACTTGTGGGAATAATTGATCCCTGTCACAGAAAATTATCCTAGCATTGTACAACGGACTAAGTGAAGCCACATTTGGAATAGTGTTCACAGTCCCTGTCACCTTATTATGAAAAGGATATAATGCCAACAGAGAGGACAACCCAAATGACACGGGAACTTAATTATTCAGGAAGGGTTAGACAAACTACCGTGTAGTTGCATTCTTTGGAAAACGAGATTAAAGGGACATTTCAGTGAGGGATACAAAACTCTGAAGGGAATATAGAGACTTCATATATATGAGGGGATTTGAGCGAGTGACAAATACCAGAACAAAAGAGAAAATAACTGAAGCTTAAGATGGGCTGATCAGCAAAGGCATTTAAGCAGAATTTATTTAGTTAATATATAGAAAAAACAACCCTGTACTGAGACAGTAAAAGGAGCAACTCATGGAAATAGATTTTACCAGACTTTAGACAAGTAGGTGGAGTAAAAATAATATTGTGGGATATAACTATTAACTCAAAAGAGGGGAAAGGAACCTAGATGAACTTTGTGATCTCCTTTCTTGAGACGTTTTGCTGCATGTTCCTGGAGAAATGGACCTGGTTCCTATCATTTTGTGGCCATCATTGATTATCTGTAGTTTCCAGGGAGAGGTTTTCTGTTAAACCTATGTCCCTGGAACTTTACATGTGGGCTACGTCTACACTGGCCCCTTCTTCAGAAGGGACATGCTAATTTTGAAAGTGGGAATAGGGAAATCCGCGGGGGATTTAAATATCCCCCGCGGGATGTAAATAAACATGGCCGCCGCTTTTTTTCCGGCTTGGGGAAAAGCCGGAAAAAAGCGTCGATCCTCCGGAATAGGGCTTTATTCCGGAGGATCGGGCCAGTCTAGACGCTTTTTTCCGGCTTTTCCCCAAGCCGGAAAAAAAGCGGCGGCCATGTTTATTTACATCCCGCGGGGGATATTTAAATCCCCCGCGGATTTCCCTATTCCCACTTTCAAAATTAGCATGCCCCTTCCGAAGAAGGGGCCAGTGTAGACGTAGCCATGGAGAGATAAGGGGACACTCATAGAATCATAGAACCATAGAGCTGGAAGAGACCTCAGAAGGTCATCAAGTCCAGCCCCCTGCTCTAGGCAGGACCACTGTGAGGGCTTGGGCCCTGATGCTGATCTCAGATACAGCACCATAAATCCAGAGTAACTCCATTGAAGACACTGGAAAAATTGACCTTATGTGACTAATTCAGTCTAAATTCCTAGGCTACATCTAGAGAGCAACACTATTTCAGGATACTGGAAGTATCCAGAAATAGCCAGTCCACATCTTTAAACATGCCCATTATTTTGAAATAGATTGAGAAATAATGGGCATGCTATACCAGCGTCCCTGGAACCCTTGTTCCCCAAGGGTTAAGGGACATTTCAGAATAGCGCTTTATTTCATAATTAGATCGAAATAAGATACACAGTTTGCATAGCTCAAATTGCGTATCTTATTTCGACCTATGGGTGCAGAGTAGATGCATCCCTAGTGTAGACCAGGCAGAAGTTTATTCAGGATTCCTATTGCTGTAATTGGGAAAAGACTCCAGGCCATAAGTGTATGCATTCGTTTGAAAGACTTTAATCCCCCCTTCTCCACCATCCCTTTACATTGCATAAAAAGCTAGAAGGAATTGTATTCTTTGGGGGGAGGGGAGAATTTGTAATAACTATACATACCATCATTTGCACATAATAACTAGGGGCTGTTGACTTCAATGAGCTTTGGATCAGGCCCTAAAGGACTTGCTTCCTTTGACTTACTAGTTTTACTGTTAATTTAAAACAAAAGAGTCTGCCCTTAACTGTGCTGAAACCAAAGCAAATTGATTTTCTTTGAGGACCAAGAAATTGGGACATGCTGAAATCTAGCCCTTAGGAAATCGATGTAACCATCCCCTTAATAAAACCATCCCCTTACTTTCTCTTCCAGCTGTGGGATGGGTGCCCAACAGACTCATATTAGATGCGTAGATAGCACATAACTTACTGCCCAGAGGCAAGAATCCCATGCACTTTTAATGATGCAAGAGTTCCCATGACAACATTGTCATTCAGTCAGAAAAGCAAAAGGAAATAATGGCAAGCTGTAGAAAGGGGAATGACCCAGGTGATTGGCATTGGGCCAACTTAGGCACCTTCTCTTGCTGCACTGAAATAATAATTTGAGAATTATTACTGTATTTTCCGTAAAATTGGATCTGCATTATTTGTTTCTGGACATTTGTGTTACCTCTTAGGCCCTTAAGGAAATTGTTATGGGTGTAGCTACATCAGTATAGTTATACTGGTGCAAACCGCTGACATAAATCTACTGTTGCTGTATTAAGCTCAGAAAACTCCACATTGTATTGACCTGTACAACATATCAAAGAGCTGTTCACACCTCTGTAATTACTACAGAGAATTTCCTTAATTTAAGGAATGTCTTTACAGGTCTGCTTTGGACAACTGTCCTGGTGGATCCATTAATATTTTCTTCTTTATAAAATCAAGCTATTTGTATTTCAAAACTGACAGCTGAATGGGGTAAAATGCAGTTACAGCTGTTACATAATACCTTTTGTCCTGTGAATATAATTACGTGTTTAATTGGAATTAAAAACATTTTGGAATATATATTCAGATTATGCTCAAGATCTTCAGTTGATGTAAATTGACATACCTCCACTGAAGTTAGTGCTGATTCACACTAGATTTCCTCTCAAAGGAAATATGTAAATAATGGTATACCTGATTCTGATCCTCCATCCTGAAAATCCATTGACTGGAGTTACTCCTGATTTACACCAGTGTGAATAAGGTCAGAATCAAGGCCAGTGTTGGAGAGTTTTTTCCTCCACTGGACAAAATCACATGCACATATTGGGCTTGCTTCTAATCTCACATCGTGTAAAAAAAAAAAGAAGTAAGTCTGGAAGACAAACATCTGTGTGAGAACAGAACCGGCTTCACCGAAGAAGTGGGGAATGAAAGTAGTTAATGTACTAGCTCAACCATTTCTAGTAGCTCTATTAATCATTATCACTGTTTG